ATATAAACCACAAATACAAAGGATCCATTGGGAAACATCCTACTGTATCAAAACGAGCAGCTAGTTCGATAATTAGTAGAAGTAAAAGTAATTTTAACAGGTTTTGACATTCTTTGTGTTATTAGAGTTACAAAAAATAGGTACTTTGAGAAATTTGGTTCACCCTCTATGCAGTTATTGCAACTTATATTTTCTTCTAAAGTGGAAAACCAGGCATCGTGAGCATACGATGAATTTTTTAAGTACTTACAATTTAATCGCGAAAAGCAATTTATTTCGCCGCGAAATCCATTATGAAAATTTGTTTCATAAAAGAAGACACACCTACAGCCGAGCAACCCGAATTACGTTCACAATGTCTGATATTAAATGATATTTCAGGCGAAATAACCTAGAAAAGAATTAATAATCTTAGCGCAGCGTGCGAGCAGATTGGATTTTCCGGGGAAACTCGGTTTTTCCAAACAATTTTTTCGGTTATTATCCAAATTAGTGGTTCATCTTTTGTGGAAATCCTTCTAAATATGTAATAATAACAAAAAATTAACAACGTTTACTCGCCACGGATAGTGTTTTATACTTTTCGCTCGTTTATTAATAACTATCATTATATCCACAATTTAAGCTATATTACTATTACCTACCTTTTCTTACGTTGAAGAGAAAGTGGGAAGTGGTGTTTTGGAATACAAACTGTTGGAATTTTGTCCTTTTTAGGTATTGATATAGGAGCAATAAAAATTGTGCGTCGGGTCGGCGTCGGGACGTGTCCTGCGACGTCGTTCCTGACAAAAACGCTATAAATAATAAATAATCGTTCCTCGAGGACTTCGGGATCGTGGAGACCTGCCCGTCTTAAACCCCTTACAAAATACAGTTGCCTTAGTTAATGATGTCGTTACTACGGTTACGAGCCGCATTTACAACGATTTCTTTTCAATTTTCTACCGCGCGAAGATCCTTCCAAATAGATAGCGTGCCGGAATATCTCACACGGAAGGATGAAATAACTTCCATTTACCAGCTAATAATTAACTAGGTAATCTAATAACAAGCGCTGAATTTATTATGTGTTGTTAATTACTAGGCAAACAAGTATACGGAATACAACCCTTCTTTTTCTTAGTAGTGTTACTGTTTTTTTTGTACTATTATGAAAATGTATTTGTTCGTGTATAAATAAATCAGTGAAAGATTGAAACAAATAAATTTTGTTAGGATTCAATCTTATTCATACCGGCGTATTGGATCAAATAAAAAGATCAAAAAAAAACGAATGGAGACTTTTATAGGTATTCTATTCTACACGGCCGAATTCAATTGTGCCGAAAGGTAAAGGAGAAAATGTAGTAAAATTTATTCGCAATTTATTATGCTTAAATTTTATCACATAAAATAGCACAAGTCTGAATCATTCGATTAAAATTCTACCCGGAACCGGTCCTGCGATTTGGCCTGTCTCTATTCAACACACGCTATAAAATATTTAGGCAGCACGGTTTTTCCTCGAGTCTCCTCTTGGCTATTAAACTAGGAAACTTGGCAAGTCCCGTCTCATGTTTCCTTTATTAGCGATGGACAAATGGGAAACCTGCCCCGTCCTTTCCTTTTCCAACGTTTTTACGCTACGGGCGTGCACGTAGAAACACGTTCTTATGAAAAAAATAAACCTAAAGTGCATTTTCAAGCCACAGGGTGTTTATACGCAACATATCGCCGATCGGAATTTGAATAAGATTAACTCAAAAATTCATCGCACTGTGTTTGTTTTCGTTATTAACCGCCATCACAAAACTTACTTTATGTTATTTTTATTGGTATTATAAACATTCGTATACTAGCAGGAGTTGAGTGAGTTCTCGCATTTTCGCGTATTATAAACAACACGTTGCTCGACGGCAAATGTTTGTGTGTTAGCTAAGAGGATGATAATAGTCGTAGCAGAGTTTAATTTCTGCATAGTTTATTTCACCATGATGAGTTATTTTGATAATGGATTCATTTTTTAGCGAATATTATACGTTCCCAGTCCACTCTTTAGATCATTACACTCTGTATATATTTTGCCCTAAATTACTGTGGCTGTTTTAAAATTATACAAAAAATGTTTACACTATCAATAAAAATCTCTAAAACACACAAGTATATGTATTTTTGCACCGCATATCTAATAATAATAGGATTGTATGTAGTTCGAATGCAGCAGCAGGATTTTTTGATCGCCTTCGGCCGGGCCCCCCCAATTGAAATTCGTTTAAACGTCGGGATATAGAGCGCATTGTTTCGAACCTCTGCGCCCGTGTGTTTAAATAATTAAAACCCGGTACGAACTCGACGTTGATTGCCTGACAGTTGCAGCAGGATTTGAGGACCGTTCGGATATTTCGATTGTGTCTATTGTGCCGTCCTCCGCGATTTTTAAAGCGATTTCCATTCGACGAGCGTTAATGGGATAACGATTTTCTTTTTCCTTCGTTCGACGGCATTACTAGTAAGTAGTTTAAAAATATCAACAACCCCGGAATTTGTCTCAAAAGTTCAATGGAAATGCTGCAAATACAGCCGTCAGGAGTAAATAAACGTTTGGTTTATTAGACCGAGATACTTTAAATATCTGGGGTTAGGATGGAATTCGCAGTGATTCTCCGAGTGGAACAACCTTATAGCCCCGTTAACCCTTCGCTGTTAATTCGGCCGGGCTATTTGGGTCGATTTAAGGCGGTGTTGCTAATTTTCGAGTTTTTCGCACATCTCATTCAAAACTGTAATTAATTACAATTTAACCGAAACGGGGAGATAGATCACCGACGACACGTTCCACACAATAAAGTCGTTTGTGTTCGATGCCGATGGAAAGTTGTTGTTGGCAACTCTCCGGCTCCCGATGGCAGCAGAGGGTGATATGTGACGACACTCTGAAAATTGTTTACAAGCGCTACCCATGTCATGTTATACTAGTGTCGCAGCCCGGCTTAATATCGACAAGGGCAATTACGGTTTGATGTTATTTAGCAAGCCGAGCTTTGGGTGTCTTATTCCAGCAAGTTATACAAGAGTATTACTATAGTTAGAAACTTCCGGGTTAACCCAATTAATTTTTACCTCATTCTTCCTTCGCGGGTAATACGCAACAAATTTCAACTGGATGAAAAAAGTTACGTTTACTTTTATTATTAATAGCCGCCCGAAACGGCCGCACGAAATCGATCCGGACTCGTGACACACATTCCCGTTTGGATTTCCATCGAATTTATTTGTTTGTAGCGGCCGTCTGCCTTGGATACCATTAATAGCGCAGACGAAATAATTCATAGGCACGAACCCCCCTTAAAAGATTCACCGGGCGCGCGGTGGAGGGAAACAAGGGCAAGCCGAAGGCGAGGAGCGTTTTGTCGAAAACCTACTTTACGATTTACAGGTGTGTATTCGTTAATTAAATGCCATTGATTCGACGGTAAATGGCGCAGTAGGAACCCAGTTATATTGGATTCTAGTTATCTGTTATTATATTATTTTAATTTCAGCTGCAATGAAAATAATTTTGTTGTAAAACAATCCAGCTGGACCTCGATACTCCTTCAACAACTCTCATACACCCCAAATTGAATTAATTCCTTATTATCCAAATACACAAAAACTGATATCGTATAATCTACATAAATAAATACCTACCCTATAAATTCATTATCAATACCCTATCATTTTTGGTATAGGATAAAATATGCAACACGGAAGGTACCCCTCAATAATATGGGAAATTTTAGCCGTCAACCGGATCGTATGCCGGCGATATCGTGAAAAAATGTCAGCTCTCCAGTGATTTATATCATTGGTGCATCCGAACCGAATGGAACGCATCAGCTCACGCCAGTTGGAGACATCTCACTGGTGAAACAGGGATTTTTCGATCGGTTCGCTTCCCGATAACCACCGTCACGGCATTTTTAAATTTATGAGAAAAAATTAGTCTTTCGAACGTTTACTAGAAGGAGCAGACTTGGAGAAAACGAAGTAAAAGGAGCACTCACCGCTAAGCTTTTGATTTTATGTTCGTTTAATATTGTAATATTATTGACGTCAATCGATGATTTAATAATCAATTTGCCTATCGAAGCAAACAATATAATGCCTGTCAATCTTGCCGAGCTAGCTGGCGAAAAAATATTAAAAACGAAACCCGCCGGTTGAATGAAAATAACGTTTTCATCGTCCCACTATCACATCGGGGATGACTTGCGTCAGGCCAGTTCGATATTGTTTCATTAATTCCGAAACTGCGTTTTCTACTTTTTTAGGGTTTATTTGCATTTATGCTAAATAAATTTCATTTACGTATCCGTTTAAACATCGATGAAATTGAAATTTTAATTTATATCCCTGCCCGTTTTTAATCCATTTTGTGAATTAACCGGCGTCCGATCGAATATTGAAATTGCGGGTAAGTAAAGTCGGATTATCGATTGCGGCGTTTCGCCTTTTATCAAGCCGATTGCTTTTAGAAATCCTGGCGCTCGACTTTGTTTCATGCGGGATGTAAAAGGGAGAATTTCATTAGATTTTTTTGGTTTATCGCTCTTTTATTCAAAAAAAAAATTAATCAACCTGACGTGATTGATAGTTTTTTTGTACACCGAGATGTTCCGTATACAAGTTTCCTATAACCCCACGCCTATATCCTTGAATTATTATTCATCCTACATTTCGATTTTCCCATGGAAAATTTCGGACGGGGCGTAAACTTTGCGATATGAATTCCATCTGTTCGCCCGCCTCGCTATAATCGCCATTTACTTTGAATAGCTTTAAAGGTTTATTTGTTCCTTTGTACAATTCCTGTTGGTAGGATTTCGTTCGTAAATACATTTTTCCGAAAGAAATCTCGCCAAAATCGAATTCACGAACAATAGGAATATTTTTTGCGTCCTTTTCTTAGCCGCTGACGTCAAAGAAAACACTCCGCGATACTTATAAAATACGTACTATATATTTTAAAAGCTTATACAGTTTAGCCGTAATAGTCAATTATTCTATCGTTGATTTTTTCTACCGGTCTAGCGTTATTCTCGATGTATCCACAGTAGCTACGTATCCTTCTAAACTGATTGATTTGCCTGGACGACACCATCAAAGGCTCCGGCTTGACGATCCAAAGCACACCTTCCGTGCATGGCGGAAAAGTCAAAGAACCGTGATAAGCATAGAAATCTCTCGAGAACTCCGGCATCAACAGCGAAAGTATAATCGGTTCGATGCAAACGTAGCTAAGCGGGTGCTTGATGTACCTCAAACCGGTCACGACCGGTTCCAAATACGGATTATCAACGGGAGTTACCATGAAGAGATAACTGAGCATCATCAGCGAACCGTTTCTAGCAGCTGAAGTCATGTCTTCGTCGCAAACGCTGGATTTTATAAAAGCCGCTTGGAGTTCCATGGAGTAACGCGTCGAAGCTATCATGTGCTCAGAACCTAAATACACGAATTAAATCACAATTATACACATCGTATGTGTATCCCATACAACCTTCTTTATCGTTGTGGCCCCAACGAAAGCGCATATTTAGAAATCTGTATTGCTCATCCAACGGCCCGCCGGACAAGGAAGGCGGTTTGCCGAGGCGCCAATTGGCGTAGACCACCACGTTGTGGGTGTTATTATACAGTCGCATTTCCGTCGGAGTTTTGTGGAATTCCTCGGAGAACACCAGCGGACGAACGGGCTCCGCCGGAAAGGTGCTGGAATACAGTATATTGATGGGCGATTGGCGGTCGCCTCTGGCCGATTCGAAGAACTGCTTCCAGCATTGGGGCCCGTCGATGCCGTCGTAGGAGTACACGTGCAACACCATCTCGTTGTCGTCGCACGAGCATCGCCTGGACGTGCACAAATCGTGCAGGTACAACGACACCAGCACGATCAGCGCCACGACGAAGAAATAGTGATGGGCCGCCAGGTCTTCCGGTAGAATGTCCATCATTGGAATTTTGCCGGGGAACTGGCGTTTGTCACTAATAGCTTCATCACTAGTGACATTGAGTTAGTGTATTAATGTCAAATGAGGATCTCTTACATCGATTTAGAACCAAGTTGTTTAGTTCATGTAGATTTTGGAATAATTTTTGAAGCTTTTAGATGAAGTTATTAGTAGATATTCTATTCCATCGATTTACTCGTAGAACCAAGTTGTTTAATTCTTGTAGATTTTGGAACAATTTTTGGAGCTTTTAGATGAAGTTCGTCAATTCGCAGGGTTCCGAACATCCTGTGTATTGAGATATTCGATCGAAACAAACAATTTTCGCCGTTATTCTTAATGTGGAATAACTCAAAATTTCTCCCGTTTTGAAAATTAATAATACAATACCGTATCCCGTAGACGTGCCTCGAGTTCGTAAACACCCCTGGGGAATTTCGTATATATTTTTGTATGGCTCGACCGTAGCATTTCCCAGTAATATCGTCAAGTGCAAATGAGGCGCTTTAATATTACGAGGAAACGTATGTAAGGAGAGCACGAACCGTTTGAATAATGCAAAGGTCAAGTTTAATTCTAATAGACATGTCCAGCTATATCCTGTTTCCAATGAGGGTTGGTTAAACTGTCTGGTGGAACGTAAAAACGTCATACCAATATTACCAACGTTTAAATAGAAAATTTTGAACAAATTGTGAGTGTTTTATTTCGTAATATAACAAATTTCATACTGGGGAAAACCTATTAGTTAACAGGAAAATCCATTATGGGGATGCGTGTATTCGCGGTTGCATGTCGTACACAAGCCTAGCTTTCGTTCGTAATCCTCCGGAAAAATTATAATTCTGCATTGAACCGCATTAAATACGAGTTTACCTATTTTACAGGAAGAAAACCTGTGCCGATTAAAAATCATTAGATTATTTTATTATTGATTATTGCAGCGCGCATAATCCAAAAAATAATATAAAACACAATTCGACACCAAAATTGTTAAATTTCAAATACCGTAAACAACAACAATAATTTGAAATTATATTCAATTGGCCAATTGCAATTATAATTAATTCCCAGATATCCAACGCAATTTCGACCGATTTTCCTGACTCACCGTCGCTATTATTTTTATATTGCGGCATACTTTATTTCGATATTAAAACAAACATTTTTTGATGCGTTTCCGTCGAAATTCCAGTTGATATTTCAAAAATAAACCGCAACATTTGAACGCGCCTCGTCGAGTCAACTGCAGTTCGAATGCGCGAATGCGAACTGGATTGGCGTGCGTTATAAAATATGAAAATTAAAAAATGCACTCAATTTATTCGTGCATGCGAAGTATCCGCCTTTGTGCTAATTTTTCCACCACACTTTCGTCGCAGTGAAGTGAATTTTTATTTTTGTACTAGTTACATACACTTTTAAAAAATAAATCGTTTTTTTACTAAGAATAAGTTGACTTCCTTTTAGAGCCAGTAACTTCTGGAAACTGGGTTATGTTATTTTTAAGGAGTTTCTTACGGTTTACCAAGGGTACTAAACTACTACTATAAGGTTTGCTCAATCTCATATTACCCATGTAACGTCATCTAATTACAAAATTTTCCTCTTACAGCCGGGAGAAGTTAAACTCAACTTTCCTTGAATTTTCAATGCATTCGTATACTGCGCAATTCGAAACCTTTCAACTCGATTTAAAAATTAATTTTCCGGCTCGCTGTTACACCGGCGATATAATAATCTATCATTATTGCCCGGGACTCCGCTCCACTGATATACTCCCAAGTTCTCAACTGCAAATTACGTAGTTGCGTGCCGGTAACCACTATACAACAGATTCGACCGACGTCCGACCTTTCGACGTCCGAAAGGGCGCGTCTCCGGCGTCCCTCGCAGTCCGAGGGAGCGTCGCGACTCCAGCAGGATAGGCAGCGACGTCGCCCGAAACGGGAGCAGCTAGCTCTAAAACTTGGCGCGGCTACAATTGCACTAATGTACCCATTATAGTCCTGAGAGGAGTAGCTAAATGCGCTATGATGCTATGATAGAGCGGTAAAATTTTTCAAGGCTGTATTTTTTTGTTTTTTAAAAGATTAATAGCAACCGGATTATATGTTGACTAACCCAGTGCAGTTATCCGCGCCTGAAATAAATTGGTATTGTGAATAAAGTTTCGGGGGCGCGGGCCCATTATCTCTTTCAAATTATTGGGTACGAAAGAGTAGGAAGGATATATCGTGTACGGGGGATTGGGGGTGTATTGAAGTGGCAACGTGAAGGATGTATTGCTCGGTTTTCCGCAATTAATGATTAATTTTAAGACGGTGATAAAGCGTTGCGCGAATTTAAACAAATTGCGAACGGTTTGGATTATTTTCCGAGATTAATACCGAACGCCTTGAGGTGCTGCGCTGGTCTGGCTAATTGTACGGAAGAAAGTGTAATTAATTGCTTAGTATTTCGATTAAAAATAGCCGGTATGGTAATGAAAATGACAACTTTCCTTGTTATCTTAATGAATAATAAGGCTCCGACACTATTTAGTCCTTTATTAACAGTTCGAATATTATACGAAAGAGTAGGAGCGGAATGCAAATAGGGCAATTAAGTTTCGGTAATAAAACAAAATTAAATTGTCTATTTCGAAGAGCAAATAATTTAATTTCTGTAGGAAATTAGGTCCCAAAACAAATATTTAAGTAAAAACGAAGAAGGAGAAAACTTCGGCGTCGTCCATAAGAATTAAATCACTTCGAAGGAAATAAATTAAACAAGTAAATATTGACTTAATTAAAAAATTTCCACTGTCGTCGGGTCTGCAGATGATCGTTTTCGATCTTTAAAACATTTTAACGAGCTATCAAAGTTTTACAAGTTTAACAAAGAATTATTCCCTTTTCCATATTAAATGCAATATTTAATTTTCCCTTTTCCATATTAAATATATAAATTGATGTTTATAATGCACTGTTGTCACACTTGCAAAATAAATGTATACAGTTGCCAATGGGCAATACCAATCGAATTCGACAAAAATCGCTAAAAACGCCTTTGATTCGTTTGGAACGCCAGACTAATGATTCCAGTTCGAGATATTATTTTTCCAATTACTCATCGGATGCACGAGGAAAACTCTGGCGGAGCGTCGGAACGTTCGCTTGAGCGAATCTAAAATAAATATATTTTCCAAAAGTATAGAATACTGCACTTTAGAGTGATTGACTCGGAGCCCGACGTATCTTACTTTTCCACTTGCGACTGGCATTTAGAGAATCCTCTGGGGTGTTCAACTGCCGTTACGGGAAAATAGAAATGTCTACATTCTTATTTGATGTTTGCCGCCGTCAAGCAGGAACTAGATTGTATGCTTTCCGTTCGTCAGCTTTGTCGCATCCCTTTTTTTCTTACTTGTTTTTCCCAATGACAAAAGAAGCTGTATTAGAGAACAGTATTATCTATTAATGTTGTACCGTTTCAAAAGTCCTGTTTAGAAACAATTTGTCTTCTTTTTTTTAATATATTCCTTTTTTCTCGTTTCATCCGGCCGTTGTATTGCTTTAGAAGACCCGAGATTTTAATAAAAGTGTCCAGTTGAAAGTGGACGGGAAGTGTACGTATAACCGGGAAGGAAATTGAATTCCACGTCCAATTTTTCTCTTTCTCGGTATACAGGACAAAAAGCCCGTTAATTCTTCCAACCAAGAGACATTACCTAGCCTGGTATGCGCCACAATTGCCGTTCCCTCGACGGGTTTAAATTTTTCTAAACCCAAAGCAAACATTAATTATTCGCCGTTCTTGAGTGTATCCTGACATTATAAAAGTACCTTACAATCCAATCAACTGTAAATCTCCCATATAACCCAAATAACCTTCTTCGTGTGCAGCGTTTATACATCTAGTTGTAAGTTGGGCCCATAACATATTTCATGGTGTATAAGTAATAAATATTAGAGTCGCCTTTACGTGTAATGCACGTTTTATACGGGCCCTGAGGGAAGGCGAGGAGTAGCAGGGTGTGCAAGGACCTGCCGGTGTTACATTTATGTTTATTACTGTCAAGTTAAGGGCCACCTTGGGTTCGGGTGTGACACATTCCGATACGAGGGTACGATAAAATTTTTAGTACTTAAGGCTATTTTAAAATGAAAATACGGTTTCACGTTGAAATTGAATTTCGGTGATAAATTGGCGGATAATTATAAATAACGACTTAACTTTCCGCAAGGATTTACATATAAGTTGATACAAAAACCAAACACCGGAGCAGCTCTAGATAAACGTCTAAAGTAAATAAAATATTTCGACTCGTAATTGCCTCAGTTCGAATTCGAAGTTGTAAATTAAACTTGCTCCATTAATATCTCGTTGTTTAATTTCCCTAGGAACAACATCCTATATAGTTTAAGCTCTGCGCTGGCCCGAAGAAAAACTTAATTTCCCCTTCGCGTAAATAATTTATGTAATAAGGGAATGGAGAGAGAAATTGTCCAACGATTACCGCTGGTTTCAATTCGAACGTAACATATTTTCCAATTTTCAAACAATTAGCATTTTTACTCTTTACTTCATTCTTCACTCTCGCATCTAACTCGATTTAAATTTGAATGAAATATTTCCCTCAAGAGTTAGAAAATGAGGTAAATATTCAATACGAAATGACCACAAAGGTATTCCCCAAAGTCTAGGTAATTGCGATATAAGCGAGACTGTTTGAACTGCGACTTATCGCTCTGTAGATTTTACATTAAATATTCATTTTCGGGAAGCGAGTATACGGACATTAATTAATTAAAATTGGTAATTTAAAGGCCAGTCGGGTGGAAAATACGACGGGGTAGGTAAAGTGGTTTTTAGTTATATGGGTTCACTTATATGTTATACCAACCTACATTTACTCCACTTCGGAAATTTGCTGAAATATCGTCGAAATTCGAAATTTACACCTTTAGAAAGTAATTACATCCGGGGGAAATTTTTGAATTTTTTTTGGATGCTATAGGTACTCCGGATAGGCTCAATTCGGAAACCCAATCGGAGCGATTAAGCCTCTTCCTTCGGCCTCCC